AACAGAGCCAAACAGAGACAGATGCACGGGCCAAAAGCATTTCATTTACTTGCCACACAGAAATAAACACGCCCACATACACACGCACATACGCACACACACACGCACACGCGCACGCACTCACACACAACAATCGATGAAATAAGCATAAATAAATCAATTAAAATAAAAAAAAATAAATTAAAAATTAATAAAATACATGTTAGAGGTAAACAGTCGAAAGTGCGCGACTAGCAGATACCCTGTACAGATATCAACATGTTGTCCTTCCAAGCACTGCGCGCTTTAGAATTCGACCTTCCCCCCCAGATTTCCGTCTTCATTTTGATACACTTTCGAAATCTTAACTATGAGATTGAAATATATATGCGATATGAAATAATGAAAGCCAACAGTATTTATACAGACAGACGTGACTACGTAAGCAAACAGAGTACAATTAAATCAGTTTATTTATTTATTTAGAATGCAATTGCGGCTCTTGCGGATGGACTTATAGCATTAATAATTAAGCATATGAGGAATTTGGAATTTGTTGCATACATTTCGGTGATGCGAGGGGGGGGGGGGGGGGGGGGTGGGCAGGTGTGGCAATATTAAGTATACGCCACAGCCTGCAGCAGCCACAGCAGCTGAAGCAACAATTGTAGCTCATGAATAAACCAAGGACGGTTAAAGTGAAAAAGAGATGGAGGAAGCGATAGAGAGAGAGAGAGACAAGTAGCTGCTGCCGCCACATGAGGCGGCCACAACAATGACAATGACAACAACAACAATCCCGCTCGGCCCCTCGCCTGGCCAATCAAACAGTCAGCGGTTGTCAATTAAACTTAATTATGTTGTCCAGCCAGAGACGTTGCAAGATGCTGCTGCCCAGGCACAGCACGGCACGATAGCAGCTACAACAACAACAACAGCAACAACAACAACCACAACAAAAGCATCGCATTAAAAATCATGCTCATGTGTGTGCTTGTGTGTGTGTCATAAATTGAAAGCTTGAAAAAAAGTAATTGAGCATAAAAGCTCTAAAGCGAATTGTGAATGCGACTTGCCTCTCACAAGCATAGACAATGAACTGTGTGTTAGACGACAGCAGGGATTGGGCAAAAAACAAAGGGTGTGGTGGGGAGAAGGAGGAGATGAAAAACAGATAGGTCGTCGAGAAAGTAACTTAATTACCTCACATGTGGCATAGACCCGACTTTAAAGCCCTTTTGCCTTTGCAACATATTAGAAATTGTACTTAAGCATTTCTGCAAATTTCTCGTAAAATCGTTGTTGCTCGCAATCTCTTCGCATTTCTCCACTTATTCGTTCAATTTTTTTAAGCACCTATAGAAAAATGAGTATACTGGTTTTCTACAAGCGAATGTAACAGACGGAAGAAGCTATTTTCGACTCCATAATGTAGGCATATCCGTGCTCAGTATCCCTCAGTCCGTCTATGGTTATCATTTATCGATAAGAATCGATATCGAGATACATTTTATCTTCGGCAACTCTTAGGGAAGAGTGGGATCTAAGGAAGAAACAACAACAGGCGTAATTCTTCTGTGAAGAAGGAAGTTATAAGTCAGGTTAACTTATAGTCGGGCACTCCTGACCAGAGCATCTTTCAGCTTTTCTTATCTAGAGAGCAACGTGAATGTTTCTTATTTTGTGATGTCGATCTTTAAATATATCGGAAGCCATCAACTTATGAAAGCGAATTCATCTCTGTGCCAATTGGAAAACGATTGAAAAGCTGCCAAGTTTCGTGTGTGTGTCGTGAAATGGATATGACAAATTCACTTTCCCTCACCAAACGGGGGAAGTGAAATAAATTCAAGAGAATAGCACTCAAAAATGTTGAATGAAATTTATCAAATGTCGGAAACCGAAAGGAATATAACATAACAATGGAGATGAGAGAGGAGAAGTGAATATATGCAAGAGAGTTGAGCAGCTGAGAGGGGTCACTGGCACCTGAGCGCAGTTCAATGGACGCAGAAGTTTTCTTTCATTTTTCCTAGCTTTTCGTCTAATTTGGCTTCTTTTGTTTATGGGAGTGAGTATGATATGACAGGGAAGAGGGGTTGCTTCGTGTTTCATTGTGTGTGGCGCCCCACCAAAAAGCGTAAACTCTTGGGGTCCATAAGTTTTGGGGCTGGAACTATTGAAGCCCTGTGGCCAGTGTTGTGCAAGCTGCTATATATTACCGTTAACGACATATACCAACTGCTAAATTGCAGTAAATGACTGAAAATAAGCAAAATGAAAGATGAAAGCAAAGAAAAGAAAGAAAGAAAACGGCAACAAAAATTGTTGTCTACAAGTTTCGTGTAGATTTTCATTAGCAATGGCAACGGCCAGCAATGAAATGAAATCAAATAAATGAAACGCTTCGCACAAAACGTACCAGACCATGTCGCTGAGCGAGCTGGCTTGAGGTGAAGAGGGTGCAGCTTTTACCTGTTGCGAGGGACACAGCCAAAAAGCAATCGAAGTCGATTTGACGCTGTGCTCAGCGGGCCAAATAAATTTATAACATTTAAGGCGCTCACGCGACGCGACGCGACGCGACTGTCAAGAAACTTGGCGGGCCTTACAATCCCTGCCCCGAAAAGGCCATCTAGAAATGGAGCCAAAGCAACCCCCTTGAAAGCCACAATACTAATCCTCACCTCAGCGCACACCCCTAGCTGGCAATGGCTTGTGCGCGTTGCGGTGTGCGTGTTACAAAAATAAAAATGGTTACACACACACACACACACGCACACCCCTATACACCTCTCTGAAACTGGGTGTGTATGTGCCATAGCTACTCATTATGACTACGTCGTTACGTACATTATTTTTCGTATTTTTAGTTGCGACCAACTCGACCAGGTCCTTGAACTTCACACCGGTGCGACAGAGATGGCACTACCGAGCGGGAAGCAGATAGGGCGAAGCGGAGGGCGCGACTGTAACTGTTACTTTAACTGTGACTGTGACGTTGCGCCGCGTTTAGGTGTTGTGTGTGTAAATGCCAAAAAAAAAGTACTATTTTACCCTCGAGACGCTGAAAACTGACTTAACTCAATTTCAAGCAAACAAAAAGTAATTGCTACAAAAAGTCTTCATCTAAAATTTAAATCGCCAGAGGAATATTAAGAATAGCATTTATTTATTTACAATAAAATATATGAGTAGAAGGCGTTTAAATGGAGCTGAAATGCGGCACATATCCAGTGGCTTCTCACAAAAGAAGATGGCGCCCAACGTGGGACAGTTCCAGCAGCAAAGAAGGCATGGGCATAGACTTGAGCATACCATAAATTGATTATGTGACATCGAACTATGCCTTGCCCCATATCACTGAATGGTCACTCAGCTCTACTGCAAGCCAACAAAAAGCAATTGCTACAAAGATTCGCAAAACCGGCTTCATTGTAAATTTAAATCGCCAGAGGAATATATTGTAGGTATTTATTTATAGACAATAAAATATGCATGTGTAGAGGGCATTCAAATTCAGTTCACATAAAGCTACTGCATCGAAGCGCTCACATGTGAAAATGGCGCCCAACGTGCGTCACCAACTTAATCCTGTCCTCATAGCTAGAACATTGCTCAACATATTATAAGCTTGCTTTCATTTAAATAGTAACAAATAAATATATTTCTATCGCAATTTAATTGTCGAATAAAACGTAGTCAACTCTGTTGGAACAAAAATTTTGTTGACCTGACGTTAAGGCCACAATACGTACAATATAATACGCTTAGCCAAAGGTGAGTAGAGGGCGAGTCAGCTGTTTGTGTGCGTTGTTGTTGTGTATTCACAGCCATTTAGCTCACCAAACTAACGAAGCCAACTTTGTTATTGTACATACACACACACAATGTTCGGCAATTAAGCGATAAAATATGCAACAAGCCAATTATGCGCACATTAAGTACTTCGTCTTGTAACTAGCATGCAATACCAGCAAAAAAAGAAAACAGAAAAGGAAAAACATCCGAAAGATCATTTACGTGAAGCTCGGCGCACAGTTAACTACGCCTACTATTTGTCAATTGTCCGTACCTCACGGAGGAGGAATGAAAAGGGGGCCACAGTTTGATTTCTTACACAAAGTTTCCGACAAGCTTTTTGGCTTGCGCAAAGGTCATGGCGCATACATTTTTGATGCGATTGCCGCGAATTCCAAGTTTTTCAGTGACTCTGCAAGAGCTTCGGCCAATAGGTTTTTAACTTGTGTGGGGCAATGGACCATGGCGAGTCGTGACTTCAAGCGATCCAGCTGTCTGGGCTGTTCGAAACTTGGAAGGTTGGTTCATCTTGTTGCCCTATATATTTTATCAAACAAAAGCTAGAACTATCCACTTTTGCTTATTAATGCAAATACAAGTATTAAGATTGTATCTGACCTTAAGTTTAAGGCTAATCGAATGAACAAACAAAATTCCATACAACCGTGCTCCCATCAGGACTCTACTCTGGCGACATGATTGTTCCAAGTAACAATAGTTGGGAATTGAGGAAATTGAAACTAACCCAGCTACGGTCTAAGCTGTGCATCAATCAGTCAGTCAGCCAGTTAGTCAGTCAATCCATGGTTTTACTGTGGGCCACGGAGATTCATCGTTCCATCATATGGATGGGGGCGCCAAAATGGAGCTTAACACTCAGCAAAAAGCAGATATAATAAGCGAGAGCTACAAAAATGATTATTATTATTATTATTATGATTATTATTGATAGCTTCGCTTTAGCCCTTGTACACGCTTCCAAGCGCTAGGGTGTGTCTAGTCTGAAAACTTTGCGTAGAGGTTGGGGGAAAAGTGATACCCATTATTTGATGCCCAATGTTGGAATGACCCTTAATTGATAGTGTTCAAGGTGTGTGCGACAGCTATACGCACGCACGCACACACACACACACACACACACATACCGTAAGCACAAACACATATTAGTATAAATATATGTATGTTAACATAGACATGCACATACATTCGTATATAAATATAGATATATTGAAATATTTGTTGAGAGTGCGACAAGGGGAAATACAACGTTTCGGCTACTTCAATTCATTGGGCAATCACTCTCGACGGTTGTTGCAACAAAATGTGCCACCACATTGTTGCCATTCGTTTTTGTTTTTGTTTTTGTTGTTGTTGTTGTTGGTGTTGTTGTTGCTGGTGCTTGCTGCGTGCCAACAGCAGGAGCTGTGGGCGTGTTCAACGGAACTAAGTGCGGCTGGGGCTCCAGACCCTGCAGTTCGCTAAGCGTCTGAGATATGTGCTGCATGCAGATGCGCTCCGCATTGTTGCGCTGCTCGATTAGCTCAATAAAATAGAGCATGGCATGCTCCACCAGCGGATAGATGCCCAAACAGTTTGCCGCCAAAAGCAGTTGCAGCACCGAGTCCAGATCGGAACCGAGGAAACGTTCATCCCAAGTGCAATTATCGCTGCTGGCATTGGCCAGCGATGGCAGCGACTTTTGTAGCTGTTTGATATTATCGTGACGATGCTGTTGCATCCACAATATCAAGCGCAGCAGCGTCACCGAGCTAATCGTGTCCAGCTGTATGGGCTGGCTGAAGCAAAACTCTGGCTCCTTTTGGCGCTCGCACATGAGCGGCGAGAAGCGATTGATCAGCTGGCTGGGCACATTGATCTGATTGCGATCGCAGCATTGGAAGCGAAGCAGCTGTCCGCGACCGGCCAAATACTTGAGTGGATCACCCAGTTTGGACAACGAACGCGGCAGCTGCATCAGCGGCTCTGTTAGGCATTTGCGCTTGGTGGCATTGAAGCGTGGCCGCTCTTGGTCCACTGTCTCCGCACGCTTGCGCCGCACCGGACTGGGACTGGGGCTGGGCGTTGGTGTGGCATCCGTGGATAGCCAATCCGGGTGGGCCAACTGAATGCGGCAACGTGAGGTTCTGGTGCTGCGCACCACGGGCACAGCTGTGCCGGCGTTCACTTCTCCGGCTGCAGCTACTGCACCTGCACCAGCTGCCCCAGCGAGCGTTCCCATGCCTAGAGCTCCTGCTCCGCTTCCCGCTGCTCCAGTTCCAATTGCTCCAAGCGATACTCCTTTGGTTACAAATCTTCCAACTGTTTTGGCTCCGATTCCAGTTGCAGTTGCCATTTCTGCAGATGGAAGTCCTCCAACTTCTAATCCTGCTGATCTAACCCGTTCCACTCCTGCTCCTAGTCCGGCGCCTGCTAAACCAATTTTTTTTGTTCCGTTTCCACTTGCTCCCGCTCCCGCACCCGCTCCCGATGCCGCTGCCGCTACACCTGCTGCTTTTACGTCAGCTGACCCTACTTTCCCAGCTCCCAAACCCTTGGCCACAGCAGTAGTTCCGTCTTTTTGTGATTTTGCTTCCGCATCCTTTTTCTTCTGGCCGTCCGCTGTGTGATGCTCGAACTCAACTTGTGCCCTTATCATTCTGGGTATCCTGGAGCCCATGCGCTTGACGCTTTCGCTGGCCAGCTTGGGTTCCTGTGGCGGCGCCTCGGCCACACTCTCCTCAAAGCCCTTGAGCGGTATATGAATGGACGCGGCGGTAGCGGTGCCGGTGCCCAACTGCATCCACGGACGCGGCAACTTCGACTGGGTAATTAAAGCTAACATTTTTGTCAAAACTCAAGAATTGTGTATGCAAATTGCCACTCGAAGCTTGCAATGTGTATTATTTTTGGTTGGTTTGTTTGTTTGTTTTGTTGTTTTTGTGCTTCTGTTTACAGCTTGAGATTAATTTTGTGTCTTTCTCTCAATCACCCCTTCGGTGACACGCATACTCTCCAAATAAAGTCTAACGCAGAGTCTACTACCATATTTTAAGTGAAACAGCAAAACTATCGATGTTATTGTTGATATTACTATCGATAGCACTTTTGATTTTTTTTGATAGTGTTATCGATATTATTCTGTACATTCATATCAATGTGATTATTGATATTGCTATCGATATTATTGATATTATTATCGATATTATCATAGATGTTATTATTCATATTATTATTGATATCATTATCGTTAGCATTATTGATATTGTATTATGGATATATTCTCTATATTATTTTGGATATTAATTTCGATACTGCTATTGATCATTTTATCGATAACACTTTCAAGTAAGGTCCATTATAATTGATCAAATTTAAGTGGCTCAAAAATATGTAGTTAAGCTATGGCAAGCCAAGGTTTAATCAAAGGCCAGGTAAACAAACCGTACTATTGGACAGGGAATGGATACGAATCGTATCAAGAAACTTCACATAATTGCACAAAACATTTACGCTTTGCATTTATTATCGATATATTTGAATATCGAAATAATTGATACATTTAAATATCGACGTAGTGAAACATCGATAGATTTGAATATAAGAAACGTAGATTTGTTATGGAATCGTCCGCAGTTCATTAAGTACTTTACTATCATGGTGAAGATGCTCTTTAAATGCGCATATAGAAACCTAAATTATTATTGAACCTAAAGGAACATCGCTGTTATATATTTACAAATATTTAATAACTACATCTGTGCAATCGATCTTAAAGAACAGAGCAAAAATAATGAGAAGAAATGCTCAACTGTACATATAAAAAGTGAAGAAATGTTAAAATATATCTGACATCCGTATAAAAAACCCTTAAGTCAAAAAGATAAATCAACTTTGACTGCAGAGCAGTAAGAACTGCAGAGCTGTGAGTTCCACACTGAGTAAGACACAGGAATAAGCTGAGGATAAAATTTGCAAGCGGCTTTTAAAGTTTCAGAATACGTTTTACTGCGGTTTAACCACGCTTCCATTTGCTCAGTGATATTTGACCGGGTTTATTAAAGACTTTGCGGGGCGAAAAGGTCTTCGGCCTCAATGAAATGCAATTTCAAGGAATTAATCGAGTCAGCAGCAACAGGAGAAGCAGCGCAGGAGGCAAATTAAAAAGCAATTTAAATTCAATTTCTGAGTGCGCTTCATAGCGATTGCAGTCGGCGAATGGCAAATGGCAAACTGCTATATTGTAATTAGAGTGAAACAATAATAAATCTTTATAAGAGACAAGGACGATGCTGAGACTGTAACTGTAACTGTAACTAGGACTGAGACTGAGACAGCGATTGTGGTCTGAGAGCTGAGAGCTGAGAACGTTGCCAGGACAACGCATAAATCTCAAAATCGAGCAATTTTTTAAGGACAGCTGCGGAACCAGCGACTGCCGCGACGGTGGTCGGGCCAGATAAACATACCAAGAGGGTGAGCAGCAGCCGAAGAAGCGGCAGCGGCGAGATGTGAGGCAGCACACACAAAAGGCGCAGGAATTAGCTTAAAATTGCAAACTTAAACCAAATGGCAAAAGTGGAAAGCAAAAAAAAAGAGGCAGAAACAGAACGAAAGCATATGTCGTTTTGTAAATACCCTACTGCACGAGGGTTATTGTCTTTTACCATAGCAAAATGATCTGCTTCCTAATGCTAAGCTTTATTTTATGATTAAGTTAAATCTGTAGGTTAAAATTCACATAAGCTTAAGGCAAAGATTCGAAGTTCTTTTTAAGTAACAGTTATATAAGCCTACAATTTACAAGCAACCTTACGAGTAGTTTTACAATTTACAAGTAACTTTACAAGTAGCTTTACAATTTACTTTTTAACTTCAGGTAACCGTAACCTAAGCCTTCAATTTACACGTTACTTTTCAAGTAGCTTTATAATTGACTTTGCAAGTTATTTTACAAAGAACTTTTTCATTTTTTTTTTAAATTTGTTTAATTTCAATGCCCAAGTTGTTTTTAACCGTAACCTTAGACTTTAATTTACTTACACTTATACTTTGCAAGTAACTTTACAATGCGCTGTGTAATTAACAAGGAGCTTTGCACGTAACAGTTTGCTAACAGTTTTAAGAGACTCGACGTAAAGTAGAGAACAGAGTGGCAAGCAAAGCGAGCAGGGGGAATGAAGAAAATCGAAACAATTTCAAGAAGGACACTATGGAGGACGCCAGAAAGCAGCGAGCGATGAAAGTGATTCGAATTTTATGCGATGTACATAAAAAATGGAGAGTGTACAGGTAGTTCACAAAAAAAAAAAAACCAACAAAAAGCCAAGAGCAGCAAAAAAGAAGAAGAAACGCAAAAAAACGGAAACAAGTCAATTTGCATTGCGGCTTAAACGAGTGCAGAACGCAAAAGCAGAGCCAGGAACAGGAACAGAAACGGGCCAAAGGATTCATGACAAGCTCTGTGTGTTGTATGTGTGTGCGAGAGTGTGTGTGTATGTGTGTGAGCGCGCCTGAGTGTGCAGTGTGCAGTGTGCGTGTGTGTGTGTATGTATCTGACTATGTGTGAGTGTCTGTGTGTGTGTATAGAAACTAAAGCCATCTAACAAAAGGGCAACAGCTAAAAAACAAACCGAAAATGAAAAAAAAAGCTCTACAATACCTTCCTGTGTGTGTGAGTGTGTATATGTGTACGCGAGTGAGTGTGTGCAGTAAAAAATAGCTGGAAAGGCCAGAAGCTAATCATAAATGATGCATTTGGTCCCTCGGCGCCCGTTCGCCGCTATAAAATCCATTTTATCAAGCTTAACCCAGCTAATCAATCAACTTAGACTGCAAGTTATCAGCTTATAACTAGCCCCAAATCAAAGAAGCGGAAAACAAGAACAAAACTTTACGAAACAGTCAAAACTAATTTTGTTGCTTCGTTTCAGGTTTAATTCATTGCTGAAACATGTTCCTTTTGCTGTTGCACAGCATCTGTTTTCAGTGTTGGTAAATGTACTTTTTGCCAGTTATATGGGTGTTTGATCTAAGGATCATTGAAGTTAATTGCGTGCTTTCTATTTGATTTGGTCTTTAATTATGTATAACGAAAAAAAAAGACAATCACAGTAATAATGATAGGAGATGAAGATACATATTTAAATTTAAAAAATATATATATAATCAAATAATATTAAAAGACAAGAAAGGCGGATATCTTCGTCACGCCGAAGCCATTTGTGGAGCTTGTAAATGAGTTTGAAACAAATATTTTGTAACACAAAATATTTTGTCATACATATATGGCAGCTATATGATATAGTAGTCCGATGTTAATAAGATTATGCATATATATTAGGAAAATAATGAAACTAAGAAATACCGCATTTGGTCAAGGTATCTTCATAAGACAATAGCAACGATATGACATAGTAGTCGAATCAGGTCTAGTTGCAACATACGTATGTACTGCCTGCAACAGAATTATGGACCCATGCAAAGTGCCAAGACGATAGCTTTTAAACTGAGTAACTAGTTGGCATAGATACAGACTGGCGGACAGAAAAACAGACGGAGAACAGACGGTTGGGTTTTTTGTGGGGCAACTGGTTTGGTTGGGATTCGAAATGATTTACTGCAGAAAAGTTTTGTTTGTTTTGTATTTCAAAAGCCGGATTTTTCTATGGACATTTTGCAACACTGCGCACACAGACGTGGTTAAGCTACAGGATACGCTCAAGTTGAGCACAGTCGACTTCGTAACGCATTGACACAGCTAGGTTGAGAAATGAATATAATTTCATCTCTGGTTGGCAAGCAAGAGCTTTCTCCTTGGGGCCATGATTTGTTAATTAACAATCTATTCGAGTTGAAAATAAAATAAAATATTTTGCGCATTATTTTGTTTATATTACGCAAATCGCAAACACAATAAGGACAATAAACAGAATGTTAGCTCATAAATAAGCAAATGTTTTGCCTCCATGAATTGTGCATAGCATTTTTGGCGACACTGGCTATTAAAAAAGCATTAATTGAATCGTAATACACACACAAGCACACACATCACCAACACACACACGCACACACACACACACACGTACATGGTCCGCAAATGCAATTATAGACCGTCATTTGCATATATGGTGATATATACCACGTACATGTATGTACTATAAATATGGCATGGCAAAGTGCGTTTTAAATAGCTTTACCAAATGCTCTAGATATACACTACTTCGCGCAGCGCATGTTAACTGTGTGCAGGCTTTTGTAACACGCAACAAAAGGGATATAAGTAGTTTGACCATTGATCCCGCCAACATTTCTATTTAAAAGTATTGTAAATTATTTCAAAATTTCATTACTTGCACTGATTTGCTTATGTTCGCTTATAATTCGCAAGTGGTTCATGCATTGAGCACAACAAATAGTTGGACAAAGTTTGTTGTTTTTTGTGCACTTTGCTTTTACAGCCAGCTACAAAATTGAGCCGTTGGCAAAGTAAGGGAATATGTGCGTCGTTGATTGGCAAGGTGTGCCTGTTTTTTGTGTGTTTATATTCGTATTGTATTGTCCATGTCAGCGCTAATTGAGCGATGACATGCATAGAATGCGGCTCCATGGAATATAAATCAAATCGTCGGCTTCAAAAGAAAATGCGAATTTGCAATTTGCACAACGCACACAATTCAACCATGTAAACAGATTGTACGCTTTAATTACATTATTTTATTATATTTATATTTATTATTATTATTATAAAATCAACAGAACAAACAACTAGCGAGTGTGTGTGTGTGTGTGTGTGTGTGTGTGGATTTCAATATTATTGTATGCCTTAATCCAATTGAAATTTTATAACTGAGAGCTGAGTGCTGATAGCCGTGCGAAAGTGCAGATTCGATTAGGTTTGCAATTGGTTTTCGATTAAGTGCGCCAGCATTAAGTGAAATGGAATTCCATGCTGCATATAAAAATGAATACAAATAACAAGGC